GATGTTGGCGTCCTTCTTGTGCCAAGGGAAGAGGCGGGCGATGGCGAGGGTACCGTCGGGGAGCACAGAGCCGGTCAGCACGTAGAGCTGTGAACGTCCGGGCCGCACCAGCGCGTCGGCGCAGCGCACGTTGATGAGCAGCCACTGGCGCAGCAGAAGGTGGGTGTCGTAGGGTAACAGCGGGCCCTGGCGGATGAACTCCACGCGGCCCTCGACTTCAAACGCGGGCTCGCCCGTCAGGAAGCGGCGGCGGTGGTGCAGTTTAGCGGTAACAGCTGCGAAGGAGGAGGGGAAAAAAATCTCGTCAATCTACGCTGTACAATGAATTTTACATAGTGGACTACATCGTTCACTCACCAGTTCGTCATAACATTCCTTTTTTTTTTTTTTTTAAGGTGAGTATTTGACCAAAGGTAATACAGAAACAGCACTGTCTTTTCAAACTTGTGACGTTTGTCTGCTCCTTTATTTGGTCTGTTTTTGTTCAATAATTTTCTTATCGTCATTCATGTAACATGGGTTCATGATTGTGTCCATTCTAGAAGCATGGTGTTGATGCTTCGTTGAATATTTTTTGTGTTGTGACAAATCACAGGACAGTGGACCCGTTTGCAGGGCGGGGTGGGGGGCAAGTACCGGGCCAGCCCGTGGAAAGCAAAAATTCGCATATAACTGATGGCCACAAAAGAAGACTAGGGAGTGATTCCCGACAGTGATATAAACAAAATGGAAACAATGTCAAAATGGTTTCTGATTCTTACCAAAGTCATGTTGGCAAAAAGCATCCAGGACTGTTTTCATAGCCGGAGCTTCTTCCACCATGGGACAGTTTTGACAAGCTGCTTTGGGAAAGTCTGCAAAAACAACAAAAAACATTTTTTGAAATAAGATGTCGACATTTGGCTTCTCCATAACAGCCAATCATAGTAATCTCAAGGAACTTCCCATGATCGTCGTTGCACGCATGACCCCAGTGGTCACTTTTATTGTCGTGATTTTTACTTGCTCACCGTTTTTGTTTTGAGATTTTTGTGGAGACATTTTTAGTTCTTCTTACAAACAACTTTTTATATTTTTGACTTTTACGCAATTGTATTTTGTGGAACAAAATCTTCGTGGTTCAGTGCAAATCACGATCGATGATGATATGCGGGAAATATTCTTCCTATGCTGCACCATTTTTGATTTGCGTCAAGCGTGTGGCGCTTACCTTATCATAGTAATCTCAAGAAACTTCCCACGATCGTCGTTGCAAGTACGCACCCCAGTGGTCACTTTTATTGTCGTGATTTTTACTTGCTCACCGTTTTTGTTTTGAGATTTTTGTGGAGACATTTTTAATTCTTCTTACAAACAACTTTTTATATTGTTGACTTTTACGCAATTGTATTTTGTTGAACAAAACCTTCGTGGTTCAGTGCAAATCACGATCGATGATGATATGCGGGAAATATTCTTCCTATGCTGCACCATTTTTGATTTGCGTCAAGCGTGTGGCGCTTACCTTTAGCAAAATGGCTGAATTTGGCATGCGGAGAGAGGCACATGTCTTCCTCGGAGGGGAAACGTTCGCAGTCAAGTGCTTGGGGCCAAGGGTGCCCCTGGCATGCGAGCACGGGGGCACAGCTGTCCCTCACGGCCACGCACAGACTCCGACAGGGCTGGATGAACCTGAAGACGGGAAAGAAGCGCCGGAAATGTCAAATTCGAGCCAGCACGCCCGACTCGGAGTCGAGGAAGGAAAGCGGACTTACGTGTCAAGACAGACGGGAGCGATGAGGGAGCAGAGGAAGGCCTGGGCTTGGGGGTGGCACCCCGTCTGCAGCAGGGGCCTCCAGTCTTCGGAGCGGGGTACCACTTCACCTTCAAGGTTGCTGTGGCCCAAGAAGTTGGGGAGGCGCATCTCTGAGTAGCCCACATCTTGACACACCTTCATCTGGTTGGGGATGGTCACGCAACGGGTGGACTGGCTCAGGTCGAAGGCCTCGATCAATCGTATCGTTTCGTGGCTGTTCATTAAAAATAAAATAAAATAAAAACGCCATCACCACGTTTACCAATGCATACTCGATCAATGAAAAACAGGCATTCGAAAATATCGCATGTACCAGCAAAAAAAAAAAAAAAAAAAACCCTGTATTGCCATAATGCACCCTGGACCCATCTCAAATATGTATCTTGCACAGTGGAAATCATGCATGGCCAAAATACCGCCTACCAATTATAAAAACACACACCTCAAAAATGTACCCTTGCATGTCCCAAACGTACCAAACATCCAAAACAAATAGAGTCAACCCTTGCCATCTATTGCTAATGTTTACGGCACTGGCGTCAAAGTTAAGGCCCGGGGGCCAGATCTGGCCCGCCACATATTTTTATGTGGCCCACGAAAGCAAATCAAGCATGTCAAGTTCCATGATACTTACTAAAGTTTGAACCAAAATTTCAAATTGTCATAGGTAATCCGTAAAAACAGGCATTATTCTTGACATCTGATTTTAAAACTAGTTATTCATCCATTTGTTGTGTGATGTGTCTGTACTATGTGGAGGGGATTTATATGGTTTCCCAAAATTCATAACGGCCCTGCAAGAGAAATCGTAACAACACTGTGACTCACCACAAAAAAAAAAAAAAAAAAAAAAAAAAAAAAAAGTATTTCGCCTCTTGTGGGTGTGGCCTGGAACCGAACCCCCTTGGATTACAGTGGTTCCAAATGTATCACGTGAAAAATGTGCATTTCCAATTGTAGCTTTGTACCAGTGGAAAACACACTGCACTGGTTGCATCAGAAAGGGCGTCCAAGGGTTAATGTTAATAATCATAATAATAAAATGGGGGGAGGAGCAAAAGTCATCCCTAAAAACATAAAATAAAATAAAAACGCCATCACCACATTTACCAATTCATACTTGATCAATGAAAAACAGGCATGTACCAGCAAAAAAAAAAAAAAAAAAAAACCTGCATTGCCATAATGCACCCTGGACCCATCTCAAAAATGTGCACTGGTTGCATCAGAACGGGCGTCCAAGGGTTAATGTTAATAATAATAATAATAAAATGGGGGGAGGAGCAAAAGTCATCCAACCAAAGACAAACATGTCCAGGTGTACCCAGTACCACTGAAAATCATACATGTTCAAATGTAAGCTGTACCAATGGGAAAAAATTTAATAAATCATAATCATTTTACACTGGTCTAAAATGTAGCATGTGCCAAAGAAGAAAATGCATGTCCAACTGGACCCTGAGCACGTCAAAAGTGAACCAGGACCAAAGGAAAAACATGCATGTCCAGATGAAACCTGTGCCGAGAAAAAAAAGATGGACAGTTTGTCCAAATTTGGGGGATTTTTTTTTTTAAAAAGGTGTCACCTCTGAGAAATTGATTTGAGAGTGCACATGAGCCGGGTGAGCATCTATAGCAGACAGACAGTCTCCCTCATATTGGGAGCGGGCTTCCTTAATTGGAGGCTTCATTAGCGAAGCCGCGTCTCCTTGAGGCTTTGATCTGCCCAACTTGGATACTTGCCGCCTTGTTTTGGCAGTGTCTGAGCAACTGGCTCGCTCTGACGGTCCGACGCCAAGGTTAAGCCGCCCCGCGTTTTCATAAATGAAACGGGTGGACATCCAATTGTCATGGATGAGCGAGTGTTGACTTTGTCCTTGTCATCCACCAACAGAATGACAATAGGAGCATCTTCGCTTTGGTTTCGAGGTCGTCTGTCTCCAGATGTAGATGAGCATCTCAAGCCCGCATTGCCTCTGGGCTATTGCGGGACTTTCTCCTCTCGACTCAAGAGGACTCTATCTCCGGAGGCTGCCCGTTTGCTCGGACTCGACTTTTTAGTTTGAAACGCGGAGCGGCGCTGCCCGGTTGCAGCCGCCGTTTTACAGCCCCTTCCGATCGACTACGTGGCTGGTTCCAGCTCGGGTAGACGACGAGCACGGCCTGTCAGAGGGGACTTAACTGTGTAATTAGAGTCACAGACCAATTTGGGAGAACAATGGCACCACATATTTAACACGGTCCCCCTGCCAGCAGCCCAGCAGGGGTGTGTTGTTGGGCCTAATGGCTGTCCTGTAGACACCCTGTCTGTCTTGCTCAAGCGCTGCTTGGCTCTGCTGCACTTAAATAGGAACACAAGACAGTTGTCTCCTACACTTGCAGACACACAGGGCTGAAAAAAAAAAAAAAAACCTCAGCCCTAAACAAATGTCATCAAATAGATTTTGAATGCCACTGCCCGTACCTAAAACACGGCCAAAATCGGTGAGGTGACATGAGTTTTCTTGATAATCCAGTTTCCTTTAACTCATTCAGTACCAGCCAATTCTAGACCCTCCTTTTTTTTAAGTCTTGGAAAAATTGGAAAAAAAAAAAGTATCTGGGGTTGAACGTGTGGAGTGTGAAAAGACAAATACGTCTTTGGGAGTGAATGAGTTAAGGAATGGTACATATATTTAAAAAATAAAATAAAAACCTATGGAACAATAAATATCACAACAAAAAATAGTTTTCCGGAAAAAAAAAAAACTGCGAGATTCGCCAACATTTTCAGAATGAAGTAAATTAAAATTTTGAGCAAATGAACAGTAAAAAAATGTATTTCACAACAAAGTACAAAAAAAATCAATGTAATTTCAAGAGAATGTATTTCACAACTGAAGAAAGAAAGAAAGAGTTGTTTTGTCACATTTTAATACTACGAGAATGACATCTATCCATCCGTTATCCGATCGCACATCCTTATTTCACGAGAATTTAGAGTAAAAAAGCGGAATCAGAAAATGAACGGATGAACATTAGGTGAGTCATCAATGCCAACTGGCCAACTTCAACACCACTTTCCAGTTTCGACGCAATTCCTCCACGCATTTTATGCGCAGTCCAGGTAATATTGTCATTTTCGACACGGCTTATCCAATACGGGGTTGCGGGGGGAAAGCTGGAGCCTATCAACTCTATATTCCCCACCACCACTCTGGCCAACAAAGCCACATCAAAGACGGCGGGCCGCGGTGGAAGAAAGGAATAAGGTGGCGGACGGGGTGGGCGGCAGCTCACATAAAAGCTGTCTCCACCCAACATATAAGAGACTCATTAACTTAACAGATTGAGCCCCCCACCCCTCTTTTGCATCCTGCTGGGCTCCAGCGGGACTGACAGCGCTGATGCAGACTGTCACTCACACTCAATTGTCACATCCGGTCTCCGGGGCCTCGCGGCCAGACGCCGTCACACACAGAGGACAAAAAAAAAACAAAACGCACCACGACTCGGCAGACTCCACTGACATATTATTAGTTCTTATAGTTACGCAAAATAGTTTGACATCTCCAATGTGCTGCAAAAAGATGACGTCCCTTTTTTAAGGCGGAGGGGACTCTGTGACGGCGATTTGCGCAAATGTACGCGTCATGGACGATTCTTCCGCACGGTCAAGTGCGTGGGCTTAATAAACACAGTGCGCCGCGTGTTGCACACAGATGTCACATCTTTATTTGCAGCCGCTTCGCGTCCGTCGCTCTCTCACGGGAAAGCAAAACAACGGTCGGGTTGACGTCACTCACTCACTCGGCCGAAGAGGCGACGGGAAGACGAACTGAGCATAGAAGCCCATGGCAGGAATGTCTCATGCGGCATTGTGATTAGATGCAGCTCTGTCGACATAAAGATGGAGTTGAAGTTATTAATTAGGGTAGTATAGTCGTAGTAGTGCAGACAACTACAAGGAGTAGTAGGGACAAGCAAAAAATAAAAATAAAAAAATAGAATATTAATTGTAATATTGTGAGAACAGAGTTCTGTGTTTGAGGAAGCCATTCTTGTAATATTACAACTTTTCCAAACATGTAAAACAACAAAGCTTGAAGTTGGGCCAATATTAAATTCTGACGGTATGAGCAAAAATGTTGCAGTCTCACTGTATTAAAATTAGAGCTGAAAAAGTTTTTTTTTTTTTTTTGGTTAAAGATTTTGGTAATTATTATTTTTTAAACAAAAATGAAAGTTGTATTCCCATGAGAATAGAGTCATAAGATTGAGGAAAATTAGTTGGACTGTATTTGCATGACTAAAAAGCTGCAGCACTAAATCGAGAAAAGATGCATTTTTACAACAATAAAGTGGTCGTATTCATTTTGACGAAAATGCACACAAGACTCAGAGTGCTGCAAGACAAGTTCTCATGCTACGCAAAATATTAGCAACAAACGTTTCAACTCAAGTGTCGTCACAACACAAGAATAACACATTGCAAGAGAAAAAAAATACTTTTAAATTTTTTTTTAATTCCACCAGGTTGGTCCCATTGAAATGCATGCATAACATAAGAGAAAGTTGCACTTGAAGAGAAGCTGCACTTGAAAAACGGAAGGAAAAGAAAAAAATCAATCACTCCAAATGAATACGGTAATGTTACAATAATGAGGTTGTTGTGAAAAGTGAGTCATTCGGAGAAAATTGTAATACGAGAATATCAAGAGGAACCCATACACACAATATTGAGGATTTTTTCTTTTTTTTTATAATTCCCATAAATAAAAAAGGCCCTGTATTATGCCAGTTATCCTCTCATAAGAACGTTCAATTAGTTATTTTTTTCCAGTGCGGCCTTATTAATTTTGTGTACGTTAAGCCCGTGTGTGTGGGACTGTTCAAGGTTGAACTGTTTACTATAAATAATGACATGTATCCCTGTGCTATTGTCACAGTGATCATGCGGAATCTAATAGGATGCGCGCTTACATCTGAGAGTCTCTAATGGAGGGAGGGGGGAACACGCTTACATCTGAGAGTCTCTAATGGAGGGAGGGGGGTCGCAGCCCAGATACGCCCCGTTAGTGAAACAATAGTGAAGCAGTGCCCTGAAGCATGTATCCTAAAGGGCAGGGAGAGAAAAAAAAATCATACACTTAAATGGTCAAGCATAGACCTAATTGCAAATTGATTTTTTTTGGGGGGGGGGGCACTCACCCGAATGAGAACGTGGGGGTTTCCGATGACGA